ATGGTTTTTAATATCAACATAACATGCAGGTTTCATTGTTGAAATTTAACGACTGCTGAAATAATTATTTAATAAATGTTTAGGATTTTTTCTTCATTTTGCAACACATGGCATTGATACCCTGTGCAAATATAAACACAGAGAGCAAATGATGTTAATTAATAACAAATTTCAATTTATTTTATGTTTCTTCTTCGATCCAAATATCTACACTATATGAGACCATTAATTAAGTGACATTTAAAGACACATCGGTATTGCCATTGGATTTCAAAATGCTGTTAAGTATTTTCATTAAAACAAATAATGCAAAATGTTGCAAACATTTCAATTTTGAATATTAAACTTCAACAAAATTTCTTGAAGTACATTAAATATCACAACCTTTCTAGACATGCCGTTTTTAACGTGTGTAGTCTTTCTGAGTGGTCCTACCTGAGTATTCACCACGAAAATATTCGAAGAAAGCGTGAAGTGCTTTTATTTAACTCGTGTTGCCAGGACATGGCACAAAAACATTGATTAATAAAAACAATTTAAACTAAGGATACAATATGTATGAAGTGTCAGAAAATACGGAAAAAATACCACAGCGTAAATACACGAGGACAAAATAGCTCTCAAAATCGACACAGGGAATAACAGTGTCAATACAAGAGGACAGAATGTATTTCAGCGTTCATATAAAACAACAAAAATAACCCCAAAGCATCAACATACAAGGGAAATAATGTACCACAGCGTCCATACAAATTATTAAATATATACCACAGTGTCAATACACAGGGATACAATATACCACAACGTCCATACACAGGAACAAGATAGTCATCACAAAGTTTCTAAATAAAAGTATCAGATATGACGCATCGGTCGTCAACACACAAAGACATCGACAGCGTCAATACACGTTACTTTACAGAATCCCTCTCCCTTCCAATCCCTCAATATAGCGAATTAGTACTTTCTTTTTGTCCTTCCAATAACATTTTTGAACATAATTGTTTTCAGCATTTGTAATCTATTTTTTTGTGTGCATGACTTTGCCCATCCAGAACTGATTGTGACGTCATAATTTATTGTTACCGTCATAGTATTGTTTGATTCCTCGTGTTATCTGCCTTACCCTAGAGATGACTACTAGAATCTTCCCCCACCTTGGAGATTTGACAGAGAAATATCCAACTCGAGAGGTGATATTCTTGATTGTCTTAACCGAGGGTAAGACATTCGAGAATATCATCCTGAGGGTTGGAGATTTATCTGCCACGCCCTCAAGGTAGAGGATGATTGTTTTTTTCCCCAACCGGTTTCACTCACAAATCCGCCGACAAGCGGTGATTTCCGTGAAATATAAGCGTTGGTTGCATGTTTTCCAGCAAATCCAGAGTTGTCTTTCATAGTCAGCTACTGCTGATGTGACGTCAATGCATTGATGCATTGACGTCATACTAATGTTATGACTTATATTGCACCTGTCGGCACGAGACTTTCTCCCCCTAGGGGGTGACAAGTGGATATTTTTCGGCTAAAAAGGGAGACACACATGTGAAGGGTGGGAGAATAATACAATATTTTCCTACCTTGAGGGTATGGCAGAAAATTCTCCCACCCTTCACAGCTGTAGCCGAGAAAGATCAGCTTGTCACCCACTAGGGGGAGATAGCCTCGTGCCGATTAGCACGTGTTCGATTGTAACGTCATTAAACTGTGTCACCGGTGTAATTATCAAAAGTGAATGACGATATTCATACCCCACATGTGTTTTTGTTTATAAACAAAAGCAGATTATTGTCAGCGGAGCTGTGAAATAATAGGATGGGAGATAAATAATCATCCCGGGAAGATTCTATTAATCTCCAACAAGAGGAAAGATGTATTTGGTTGTCCTATCCGCGATTTTGTCAATGGTTTGACAGGCAAATAATCTCTCCGATGTTTGAGAGTTATGTTACATCATTAGGGTAGGGGATCATTGTTTTTCTCTTGTCATTCCAATACTTACAGAGTTTGGCTTTTGCAATTTGTTTGTATATGACGTCATACCTGATTCCCGTGACGTCGTAATATAGTTTCTTTCTGCTTGCCTTCTGTCATATCATAGGGGTGACACATTCAGTCAAAGATAGGGGAAAGAAAATCATATTCTATGGTGACAATTAAGTCAAATATTGGTAAACAAGGAATCCTACCCTTGGGATGACAATTCAGTCATTGATAGGAGAAAAAATTAAGCATTTCCTCGGGGTAACAATTGAGTAAAGGATTGGGGAAAAGGAAAGCATACCCGTTGGGATGGGAAAAGAAAAGCATACCCTTTGGGAAGGCAATTCAGTCAAAGATGGGAGAAAATAAGGCATACCTTAGGGGTAACAATTCAGTCAACGATGGGAGAAAAAAAAATAAACTAGGGAGTGATAGAATAATCCCGAAGAAGTAAAACGTTAGACAATTCCGTGATTTATGGGAGGATAAAAGAAACACTCCCCACATTGGCGTTAAGACGGCAAAACTATCAACTCAATGGGTAAGACCCTTTAATGTCTAGCTCGAGACTCTGTTGTGGGTTAGACATTTAAGAATATTACCCCTAATGTTGTGGTTGTTTTTGTCTTACTCCCAAAGCGGGGAGAAATGGTGATGGCAGAAAACACAAACGTTGACTTTATGTGTTTTTCCAAATGACTAGACGTCACAATTGTTCTGACTGGGGATTCCACTAGTTTTTACCATAGGAAACACTTTTTACTGTCGGAAATGTTGATTTCTCTGTCTAATGGTTGAGAAACTCGTCTCACCCTAGGATTGAGACGGGGGATTCCCTAGTCAAACGTACAATTGTATGACGTCACCTAAACGATGCATTGGCCCCGTAACATCAACATTGCTTTCATGACGTTCAACAGAAAAGAATCATTCAACCCCGTGGAGTCGTGATGGTTGACCTTAACCCCTAGGAAGAGGATACTTAAGTTGCCAAACTCTTGGCAATCGTTCCCCCTTTGGTTTAGACCCCCTACCTCAGACCTCAGTGGTTAAAGATGGTGGTCAGCATTGGGTATGAATGCACCACTATCCATCTCCCAAAAACAAACCCCCAGAAAAACAAGGAGCATAGGACGTCGGAGTGAAGATTCAGCCACGTGTATACAAGTTCATTAGAATTTTGAGTTTCAGTTTTAAATTTATTTTTAAGATTGCGATAATATTACTGGTGGCTAAAATATCATTAGTCAGGTCTATGCACCGAACAGTTCCACCAAGATTCGGCAAAATCGGTTCAGTAGATTTCGAGTTTTAGTTACAAACATAGATTTACAAACAGTCACCTTGGAACCAATGTACAGGAGAATATTCTCACAGTCTGTTCTGTCAAATCTGAGTTTAATTTTTATTTTAAACGTTAATGCACATTATACAATGGACATAGATTACCAGCAAGATATATGTAACTAAACAAAAAGGGTCATAAGTCAAACTTGGCAGATTAAAAGAACAACACGACCTAAACTCTACTGTGCCATTCAATATGTTGACATTAAGAATGGCATTACTACAGAAAAAAGGCACCACAACAGAATATTGGTATATCATGCTTGATTTTTAAACACACCAGGTTGAGTATACAAACCATCCGAACAGTCTTGCATCCCTTTAGTTCATACACTATATTTGTGATTATTCTTCGCTATTTGTCTATAATCATTGACTTGTTCTATTTATTGTGTTAAACCATCTGCGATACAAAAAGTTAATTAGTGTCATAGAAAATAGATATTTCGTAAAATGTGTTTGAATGAGGAATTTCACAGTGCAAGGGAAGGGAGACAACTCAAGCATTTCCATTTCATACAATTATCTGAATTTCACTAAATCTAATCTAAACAACTGTTCTTTTTCTATTTAAACGAATGTTGTATATTGTTTTATACAAACACTTGTGTAAAGTGACTTCCTGTTATAGTTTTATGCTCACAATTTTATGCCAGTAACTTTTTCATGTTTTAAATTTCTTTTTTAAATTATTTGGTGTTTGTTGTAATTAATAAATACCATGAACATAATCATTTTATTCAGGATTATACACTTATAATTTCCACAGTTTCGGAATAATTAGTTCAGTTGAAGATGTGATTTAATTCAAAAAGGTTATGTTTTCAAAACTGGATCTTTTACAGTGTCAATATATTATATAACGAAGAAATATACCAAATTGACAGCGATAATGGGATAGATTAACAACATAGTCATCAGACAGTGTCAAAACACAAGTATAAGATATACTACATCGTCGACACACAGTCAACACCTACAACAGTGTCATTACACGTCGACTAACAGAATATCCCTCTACCGTGAGAGTATAACAGACAAATTTACAACAAGATTTCTCTGTTACTTCCTCATGGTAGGGGGTTGATTATTTTTCTACCGTCCTATTATTTCAAAAAGATTCAAATTATTAAACAAAAAGGTCATAGGTCAAACTTGACAAATTATCGGAACATGACAACCTAAACTATATTGTGCATTTGAATATGCTGATATTAAGACTGTCATTATTACAGAAAATACACACCACAACAGAATATTGTAATATCATGTTTATTCACACTTTTACATGTTTTCATCGAAATTTTCACACTATCTGAACAGTCTTTATGCCCCTTGAGTTCATGGCTATATGTATTGGAATGATAAACTTCAGATAACACTATATTTGTGATATTCATTATTATTTATCTATTAATCATTGACTTGTGATCTTTGAAAATAAAGCTTAATGAGTATCGTAGAAAATAGGTTCCTGAAGGAATTTTGCAATGCAAAGGGAGACAACTCTATCATTTCATTTCAGACATACACGCGAGTATCATAGCTTCTTTTATTTATCTATTGATTAGTTCTAGTCAAAAGAACTGTTTTTTCTACCTAAGGGAACATTTGCAACTTTTCTCATCAGCTGCATTGAACTTGTTTTATGAACAATGGTGTCTTTTATGCACATACGTTTCATGCATTTACAAGTACTAAATTGCTCTGACAATTTCGATCATTTTTATAACAAAAAACATTAACCAATTTTTTCAATGGCCATACACTTATCATTTCCATATTTTTGGAATAATTGGTTCAGCTGAAGTTGTGATTTAATTCAGAACACATGTATTTTTGTTTTAAACTATCTGCCATAGTGGCCATATTGGATTTCAGATTGACCAAATATCACAAGAATTTGTCAGGACCGTATACTTCTATTTCAGCTAAATTTGGTCTTGTAACTTTGAATTTAGAATTTGTGAAAATGTAAACAGTTGCTGGACAAAAGCAGATAGCAATAAATAGCTCACATGATACTCTGGTTTTATAAAAACAGTCCAAACCTCGTGATATTACCCATGTCTTGCAGATTTATACACACACTCTTTAAATAGTTTTCACATCTCAGTAGCACTTAATGCATGGCGTTAGATTTCCCCCTGTTAAGACATATCATCCATGACATGTATAATCATTAGACCCCAGATTCAGTTACACACCAGTACAAATTACACGGACATGTTGTACACGCCATCACAGTTCACACTCCATATAACATCCTATCGTATTACTGTATGGTCAGTAAAATATTATAACACACAGTGCCATCACAATCAATATTAGAACATTTGAAATAACAATAATTCATGATCTAAATGTGTGGCAAGATTATTAAAGAATCAACATAAAAATTTCCTTCCATTTTCATAACTCAAGCTTGACCTTGTAGTACACAAATGATGGCTCATGTAGACATCTGATAGCAATTTGATAATTTTGCATTATTTTGTGTCATTTTATAAATTTGACATTAATTAACCATGTCGCAATTTCCTTTACATACATACATTTATATAAGTTTACAGTAAAGAGACATCTTTATAAGCTTAGAGTAAACTAATACCTTATTTACCGTAAATACTGTAGCAAATACATGCAGTGTTGTTTTTGCCATTTACATGCTATTCCTATATACATGTGTACTTTTTTTCACTGCCATGATAAAGTTGCCCTCATTACGGATGGCAAAAAAGGCAAAAATGAAGATGTGGCAAAAAAAATCCCATTATATTGTATGCTTTTCAGCTTCTAATTTATGAAATAGTTATTTTAACAATTTTTGTTTGTATGGATTTGAACAAAATCAACAGACCACTTGATTGTCTGCTTTTGTAAATTAATGTAACATAAATATTTCCCAAATTTAAATTCATTATGGTCATGTATTCATTTATTATCAGATATGAAAGATGGCTGTAGCTTTCAATGTTCAAATCTGAAATCAACAATATGGAATCAAGGCATCATCCTTAGAGCCCCATCTAGCCGGATCACTTCTCCGTTCATGTATTCGTTTTCTACAATGGCCTGGCACATGTGGGCGTACTCATCCGGGTCACCAAGGCGTGGTGGGAAGGGTATGGTGCCGCACAGAAACGTGCGAACCTTCTCAGGTAGAGAGGCCAACAGTGGGGTATCAAACAGACCTGCAAAAACAAAATCAGCATTTGAATGTCAAAACTTTCTCAAGCAGACAGGTCAACAGTGGGGTATCAAACAGACCTACAAAAACCGCAGAGAGGCCAACAGTGGGGTATTAAACAGACCTACAGAAACCTCAGAGAGGCCAACATTGGGGTATCAAACAGACCTACAAAAACCTCAGAGAGGCCAACAGTGGGGTATCAAACAGACCTACAAAAACCTCAGAGAGGTCAACGGTGGGGTATAAAACAGACCTACAGAAACCTCAGAGAGGTCAACAGTGGGGTATCAAACAGACCTACAAAAACCTCAGAGAGGCCAACAGTGGGGTATCAAACAGACCTACAGAAACCTCAGAAAGGCCAACAGTGGGATATCAGACTTACAAAAACCTCAGAGAGGCCAACAGTGGGATATTAGACCTACAAAAACCTCAGAGAGGTCAACAGTGGGATATTAGACCTACAAAAACAAAATCAGTAGCTGAATGTCAAAACTTTCTCAGAGAGGCCGACATCAGGGTTCAAAACAGACTTATAAAAACAAAACCAGGGCTGCTTTAAATTCATATATTGTATTTCAAAGAGCTTGATTGGCTGGACCAGGGTTACTCATTTATGTTAAAGGGACAGACTTGGTGATTTGATGTTATTTTCTGGCAAGCCTTGGTTATAACTGTCAAGGCCTGTATGAACATTTGTAGGTCTGTCAGGTTTTACTCCCGAGACAATACTATTATAAAGCAGTATGTGTATCGCAGCACAAAGATATAGAGTGCTTTTGTGGACCACAAAAATGTCTCACACCAGTATTCTTAACAGTGGAACAAGGTTTAATATATTTAAATGCAATAAGCTTAGTTACAGGCCAAATATCATTGTACCTATGACTTGTGGTTATTCAGTTGGGACCCTTGTGACCTTGAAAGAAGGTCAAGATCATTCATTTAAATAAAGTTATGTGCCTTTTATCCTTGCCAGCTTAATGATGGCCGAATATCATCACCCTGGTCATTTGAGTTATTTTGAAGAAATTGTTTGAATGATTTTAACACATTTGACCCTTGTGACTTTGAAAGTCCATCAAAATCGTTTATTTGAATAAACTTGGTAGCCCTTCATTCCAGTATGCTATGTGGCCAAATATCATATTTCGCCTGTTGGTTAATGAGAAGAAAATAAAATGATGATGCTGGACAAATGGACATAGGAGGCCAAACCATGGAGTGAATCAGAGCTATTTAGCACTGGTTTGTTAAAAGGATGAAGTTAAAATATTTTACACAATTTATGTAACAGATTATTTATCACATCAACCAATTAACACACAAAACTCTCTTTAAAATCTCAAACTAGAGATTTGTGACTAAGAAAACTTCATATAATCAATGTTTTTTTTGGTATAATTTGTCATCTTTTTTAATTTGTATTTAGATATTTGATGAATAAATTATCATGGAGACTGGACTATGTAATGCCAATAACCTGTATTTTATATGTACAAACGTTTCCTAGTTAGAAATATTAAAATATAATAATCTATCAATATATCAAAAAAAATCCTGCTTTAGAAAAGGCCCAAAATAACACAGACTAAGGTTGAAAATAGTGCAAAAGTTTTAAATAAAATATGTTACCTACCTGGAGCAATGGTGCAAACTCTAATATTCAAGAAGGCAAGGTCACGAGCGATGGGGAGGGTCATCCCCACAATGGCACCCTTACTGGCCGAGTAAGCTGCCTGTCCGGCCTGACCGTCGAAGGCTGCCACGCTAGCTGTGTTGATGAGGACCCCACGCTGTTCTAACTCTGAACATTGACGCTTCGCCATCAGCTCTGCACTCATTCGCATCACATTGAACGATCCCACTGTATTCACCTGGAATTAGAGGATTATTTTAGAGTCTGTTCTAACCAGTGTTACGTTTTTATTCATATGATGTTTTCATATATACTAAACACCATTTTCCATATACCTTATAGCAGGTTATTTATACAGGCTTAGATTTTTGCAATTTTAACCAAAATTTACACGGATTATAATTTCGTCACCTAGACATGCAAATAAACAAAGATTTTGTGTGGTGACGGAACACAGGTAACGAATACGAATACGCTTTATTACAGCACATGTAAGTGTATTTTGTTATGTAAATCATCAACAAAACTATTACATGTGTGAGTATAATCTATTGTCAAACATCTTTTATTGCTCTTGATGTGCAATTTTCCCCAATCACGTTACTGGACCGAGAAATCATGAAAAATATCATCCCCGTGGAAATATCCTGCTATACATAATTAAGATACTCAATACTCTTCTGGACATCATATTTTGATGTCTTGTTCCAAACATGTAAAACTTTTTATTCTGCTCAGACTTCAACTAAAATGAAAACAATAGACTAGGCATTTAAGCAATTTGTAAAACGAAATAAAGTGGGTTTTTTTCTCTATTTTTTCATAACAAAGGATATACATGTATACAGTATATAAACAGCAAATCTAAAAAACAAATACAGAAAAAAGATATTAACATTTAAAGCTTTTGCCTGTACCTCATGATTAGTGATAATTGAAGCATTTACCTGTGTTAGCATTGACCGTGTTTTCTAAGCATTTGTTGGTATTATCTTAAGCCTTAGCCTGTTTCATTTTAAGCTTAAGCCAGTGTTATTTTAAGCCTTAGTCTGCTATATTTTAAAATTTTGCCTATTTCATTTTGACGTGTCCTACTGATCAGCCCACAAACCTACACCTGGTGTTGGCTCCATCACCTTTAACTTAAATTGATATTTCCTCCTTATACACACTTGATAGTTATTCTTAATAGGGGGGGACAACTTTTGCTCATTATTGGGCAAATAAAGAGAAGAAAATATGTTTGATTTAGGTACCCCCATCTACCCTACTTTTTACCTCCCACCCTAACAATTTTCTCTTACTCAAAGGCAATTTGCAACTATCTGTATACCATCTCTACGAATCATATGCAGGGACCTAAAAGTAAATACCCTCTAAACGAATCATAGGCTTGGACCTTAAAATAAATACCCTCTTAATAAATCATAGGCTGGGACCTAAAAATAAATACCCTCTAAACAAATCATAGGCTGGGACCTAAAAATAAATACCCTTTTAATAAATCATAGGCTAGGACCTAAAAATAAATACCCTCTAAACAAATCATAGGCTGGGACCTAAAAATAAATACCCCCTAAACGAATCATAGGCTGGAATCAAAACCAATGTAAATCCCATTGTATACTTTTCAAGACCCAAAAATATGTTGGTGATTCTTTTCAATATCTTAAATTAGCCTTATCCCCCCCCACCCCCCACCCAGGGTACACAAAATAAAAATTAAATTGAATAAAAATAATCCTTGCCCAATTTTTTCCAGCCATATCACTCATATATAGCATTCATATTTCTTGTTTTTGCCTTAGTGAGCGAGCATATTCAATGAATTTCTTCACTTTAATAACTTATTGTTGGAACAACACTATGTAACAAAGTTGTCACAAAATTGCCTATGGGCTAACTTATACCCCCCCCTGCATTCCATCTACATGTTGTCCCTGTAGACCAATGGAAAAGACAAATACCGCTACTGTGACCTTTGACTGATGACCTCGGAATTTTGTCATAATGTAGCCAGCATAATTTGCTACAATACTCTAATGTATGTGTTTACAAAATACTTACCATTTCTTTAATAATTAGCCATTTCAGTAACGTAATTCATGGGTGACATTTGACCTATGACCCCATTACCACAGAAGTTTTTCAGTAGAGTAGCTTGCATTAATGCCTACAATATTTCAATGTATATGTGCATTTCAGTAAAGTAATTCATCAGTGACCTTTGACCCCAAGACCTCAGAATTGACCCAAAGACCTTGGAAAGTTGTTGGTAGAGTAGCTTTCATTAATCCCTACAATGTTGCAAGGTATGTGTATACAAAATACCTACCGTTTCTGAAATATTTAGCCATTTCAGTAATTTGTGACCTTTGACCCCATGACCTCAGAAGTTTGTCAGTAAAGTAGCTTTCATTAATGCCTACAACATATAATGAAATTTACATATTTATTATTTACCTGAATGACCCTAGAGAATTGGTCCAATGAATGCAGTCCATGCTTTCTGCTAAATGTTTTCACTGCTATTCCGATCCCAGCACAGTTGACAGCCACATCTAACCTTCCAAATTTGGACTCTGCACAAGTCATCACACCCGCTACATCTTCCTCCTTAGTTACCTAGTTAATGAAAACGTGAAGTGATTATATTGTACAGGGGAGACATTGAACTGAAATGAAATTTAGCCTGAATTTGGTCTTTAACAGAAAATTCACTGACTTCATGAGAGATACTGTATAAATGATTAATTTTGTGGAGCTAATATTTTGCAGTTGTCAAGATCAGAACTAGTTTGTTAGGATTTAAAATCTAATAGAACATTGCCAGGTAAAATTACCTTACCTGCAAGCGTACTATTGTATTTGAGTTATTGGATTGATATTTACAAGTATTTTATCAAAATAATGGGTAAGATATGATACTAAATTGTTATTTTATCTCTGTTATTCATCAGTAAAAGGGAAAATAGGTATGCTCTTTTGTCTCAGTATATTCACAAAGTATTAATATTTGACTGTCTGTGTAAGTGATGGTGGGGGTGGGTAGAGATCATTTTAAGTGAGG